CAAAGGCTAGTGCAGGCTGCCTACATCCTCACCCCTAAGCTGTGGTGTTCAGGCAGAGATTTGTGACTAAGGGTAGGGATGGGCAGGATAAAGGAGGTAGGGTCCCTGGGGAGTTTCCTGATGACTAGGATGAGTAATTTGCATAAGACTAGTATCTAGGGACAACTAGCCAAACTAGTGGAAACACATGAACTGTGGGCCAATAGCTGAGGAGCCCCCATGGTACTGGACTAGGCCCTCTGGATAAGTGAGACCATTGCTTAGCTTAAACTGTTTAGGGGGCCCCCAGGCAGTGAGATCGGGACCTGTCCCTAGTGCATGAGCCGGCTTTTTGGAACCTAGTGCTTATGGTGAGACACTTGGTGAGGCCTTGGTGCAGGGAGGAGGGGCTTGGATTGCCTCAACTGAATGTGCCAGGCTCTGCTGACTCCCCATGGGAGACCTTGCCTTGGAGGAGGTGGGAATGGGGGGGGGGGGTTGAGGGTGATAGGTGGAGGGTGGGACGAGGGAGGACAGGGGAATCTGTGGTTGGTATGTAAAATGTATAGAAAAGCTCTTAATAATAAAAAAAAAAAAAAAAAAAGAAACTCTAGAAGAAGGAACTTCACAAGGAATGTGGCCCTGAGGTGGGGGTGGGGACACTGTGTCTCACACTCTGGCCTTAGTCATATTTGAGAATGAAGGACTGTCATTTTTTAAAAAAAAAGACTAGAATCTACATTCATTTTCCATTGTGTGTGTGGAGGGAAAGGGGGTAGGTGGGTACTGGATTAAAGATTTTGCAGGGGTTGGGGATGGAGAGATGGCTCAGTGGTTAAGAGCACTTGTTGCTTTTGCAGAGGACCAGGGTTCAGTTCCCAGCACTCACACAGTGGCTCACAACTATCTGTAATTCCAGACCCAGGGGATCTAACATCCTCTTCTGACCTCCATAAGCACCAGGTACACCCATGGTGTTCTTACATACATGCAAACAAAACACTCATACACATAAATCTAAAATAATTTTATTTTCAGCTGAGCATGGTGGAATATGCTTTCAATTTTAGCACTTTGGAGGCAGAGGCAGGTGGATCTCTATGAGTTTAAGGCCAGTCTGGTCTACACAGCAAGTTCCAGAAAAGCCAGAACTACATAATGGGACCTTGTCTTAAGTTTTTTTAATAAAAATATTTTATACACATTGAAGTAGATAATTCAGGAAAGCATCAGTGGGATATAAGTTATAAATTCTCAAAATTCGACTAGCTTTGTTTTTTAAGCAGTTATTTATTGTGTACGTATGGGGGGGTATGTATGTCACAGCATTGGTGTGGAGGTCAGAGGACCACTTGCAGAAGTCAGTTCTCTCCTTCTATCAGTTGGGTCTGGGACTGGAACTCGGGTCATCAGGTTTAGCAGCAAGTACCCTTAACCACTGAACCATCTTGGCTGACCTGTTATGACTACTTTTAATCCTCTCAAAGAGCTAAATTAGCCTGCTGTTATACCCATTTTGCTGATGGAGAAACCGAAGTTTTGAGAAGTATACCCCCCAAAGTCAGACAGCAGTGAACTCAAAGGCCCGCAGCGAATTTTAAAACCAGCATGTGAACTCAGATCTGGTAGATCCGCCACCTTCTTTCCCACTTGAAGTTCTGCGGTTGCAAGAAGTCAATAATGGAGATTAACATAGAGAAAAAGTCAGAAAATTGGGGTTGATGGTGCTTGCCTGTGAGCCTAACACTTTTTTTTTTTTTTTCAAGACAGGGTTTTTCTGTGAAGCTTTGCACCTTTCCTGGAACTCACTCTGTTTCCCAGGCTGGCCTCGAACTCACAGAGATCCACCTGCCTCTGCCTCTTGAGTGCTGGGATTAAAGGCATGTGCCACAACCGTCCAGCTAAGAGACTAACACTTTGTAGGAGAATCAAGAACTCAAAGATATCCTTGAGAGTTCAAAACCAGCCACTGTGGGGTAATACAAAGAGATAGATGATGATGATGATGAAGATAGATAGATAGATAGATAGATAGATAGATAGATAGATAGATAGATAGATAGATAGATGATAGATAGATGATGGATGGATAGATGATGGATGGATGGATGGATGGATGGATGGATGGATGGATGGATGGATGGATGGATATAATGGAGGAGTGTAGTTGAAGTTTTCTCTGGTTCTGCCCAGCCCCACGGACCCTGCAGCCACTTATAAAAGAATCACTCAGAAGCTTATATTAATTAAAACCGCTTGGCCATTAGCTTAGGCTTACTACTGACTACCTCATACACTTAAACTCAGCCCATTTCTATTCATCTATATGTTGCCACGTGTTCTGTGGTTTTACCTGTGTGCCGTTACATGATGCCCCCTTGATGAGAGGCTGACATCTACTGACTCAGCCTTCCTGTTCCCAGAATTTTCCTCATCTGTTTACCCCACCTATACTTCCTGCCTGGCTACTGACCAATCAGCTTTTCATTTATCAACCAATCAGAGCAATACATTCACAGCATACAGAACATCCCACAGCAGAGGAGGGAAGGAGAGACTACATAAACTTCGATAAATCTAACAAATTAGCAAGCCATTACCTGTTTACTTTGTTGTGGTGACAGGGGGAGTGTCTCTCATAGCGCATATGTAAAGGTCAGAAGGCAATTTCTCTTCTATTGTGTGGGTTCTGGGACTTGAACTCAGATCATCATTCTTGGCTGCAGTTCCCCAATCCCCTTTACTTTCTGATCCATCTTGCCAGCAGTTCACATTAGCTATTAGAAATTAAATCTATATATATATAATATATATACACACACATATATATACATATATATATATATACATGTATGTACATGTACACATGTATGTACACGTACACATGTGCTCCACTGTGCATGCACATGTAGAAGCCAAAGGTCAATGTTGAATGTCTTCCGTAATCAGTCTCTACACTTAAAAAAGGATTTATTTAGTTTAGTTTATGTATCTGGATGTTTTGCCTGCATATATGTCTATGAACCATGTGTATTCAGTGCCCGAGGAAGCCAGAGTCAGGGAGTGGGATCTCCTGGGTCTGGAATTAACAGAGGATTGAGAGCTTGCAAAAATCTCAGGTGTGAAAAGATGATATTAGAACACAAATATTCTAATATATGGATGGACACACACATACATACAAGCAAAATGTACACATGTACACACATACATATGCATATATGTTTATATGCACATAGAAATGCATGTGTGTGAATGTATATCATTATAAACACTGTATATACCTATGTATGTGACATGTGTGTACATACATGAGTACATATGTGTCCTAGTTAACTTTCTGTTGCTGTGATAAACATCATGACTCAAACCAACATGGGAATAAAAGGGTTTATTTTATCTTAAAACTCCCAGATCATGGGGACTGGAGAGATGGCTCAGAGGTTAAGAGCATTGACTGTTCTTCCAGAGGTCCTAAGTTCAATGCCCAGCAACCACATGGTGGCTCACAGCCATCTGTAGGGAGATCTGGTGCCCTCTTCTGGCCGGCAGCTGAGAATGAAGTATACTGAACACTGTATGTGTCATAAATAAATCTTTAAAACAAACAAACAAAAAACTCCGGATCACTCGCTGTCTTTCATTGAGTGATGTCAGGGCTGGGAACCTGGAGGCAGAGACTGAAGCAGGGGCCATGGAGGAACAATGCTTACTGGCTTGCTTTTCCCGACTTGCTCATCCTGCCTCCTTACACAACCCAGGACCACCCGCCCAGGGATGGCACGGGCCACATTGGTCTGAACTCTTCCACGTCCATCATTAATGAAGTAAATGCCCCACAGACATGCTAATAGGCCAGTCTGCTGGAGGCAGGTCCTCAACTGAGATTCCATCTCTCCAGATGACTCTAGTTTTTATTGTTAACAACTAACCAGCCCAACATGTGCGTATACACATATAAATATGTCTGCATTACCCATATATACTAACTTTTTATCAAAAAAGTAGACACATGCCTTTAAGTCCAATACTCAGGAGGCAGAGGCAAGAAGTTTTCTATGAGTTTGAGAACAACCTGGTCTACAAAGCAAGATCCAGGGCTACATAGAGAGATCTGTTGTTGTTTTTTGTTTTGTTTTTACTCTAGCCCCATGTTCGAACACCAAAATGTTGTTGGTTATTTTTGCTGTTTTGGGGGACCTGCCACCCAGCTCCCAAATAAATCACACACACAGGCTTATTCTTACTTATAAATGCCCAGTCTTAGTTTGGCTTGTTGCTAGCCAGCTTTTCTTTTTTGCTTGGTTTTGTTTGTTTGTTTGTTTTTGTTTGTTTTATTTTTTGAGACAGGGTTTCTCTGTGTAGTTTTGGTGTCTGTCCTGGATCTTGCTCTGTAGACCAGGCAGGCCTCGAACTCACAGAGATCCGCCTAGCTCTACTTCCCTAGTGCTGGGATTAAAGGTGTGCACCACTACTACCTGGCTAGCCAGCTTTTCTTAACTACCTTTTGCCTCTGGGCTTTTTTCTTTTCTTACTTCTGTAACCTCACTTTCACTCCTACTCTGTGACTGGCTGGGTGGCTGGGTGTGGCTGGGTGGCCCCTAGTGTCCTCCTCTCCTTCTTCTCTCTCATTCTTTCTTCTCCTCCTCCCAGATTTCTCCCTCTATTTATTTTCTCTGCATGCCAGCCTCGTCTATCCTTTCTCCTGCCTTGCTATCGACCATTCAGCTCTTTATTAGACCATGTTTAATTCACAGTTAAACAAATGTAACGTAAAAGAATGCAACACATCTTTGCATCACTAAAACAAATGTTCCACAGCATAAACAAATGTAACACATCTTAGAATAATATTCTACAACAGAAATCTTGTCTCAAAAAGGCAAGAAAGAAAAAGAAACAGTACAATTCACTAACATTCCATGTATGGACGGACATCAGTACACACACTTGGCATGTATGTTAGAAATTTATGACTGTGATCAAATAAAATGTCTGACAAATCACTTAAAGGAGGTGACTCATGCTTCGGATTCATGGTCTCTTATGGGGTGAAGCCATGGTGGCGGAAGTAGCCTGCTTGTGCCTTTGGCATCAGGAGCACGAAGCTGCCTGCTCACATCTCAAAAGAACAGGAGAAAAGAGGACAGGAAGTGTGGTCAGGCTACAGACCTTATAGGCCACCCTCCCACCCCACCCTCCACCCAATTCCTCCTGAGACGCTCTACCTTCTAAATGTTTCCAAATGAGCCCTGCCAGCTGGGGCCCAAGTCATTAAGCATATGAGCTATTTTACATCTAAATCATAACATTTTTACCCCTGGTCCCCTGTCTTAGTTAGGGTTTCTATTGCTGTGATGAGGCACTCTGACCACGGCAACTCTTATATAGAAAAACATTTCATTGAGGCTGGTTTACAGTTCATTGGCTTAGTCTATTATTGTCAAGGAGGGAAGTATGGTAGTACACGGGCAGACCTGGTGCTGGAGAGGAGCTGAGAGTTCTACATCTGGATTGTCTGGTGACCTCCATATTTAGGGAGAGATAAGTCTCAATAAACAGGGGCTGGAGAGAAGACTCCGCAGTTAAGAGCACTGGATACTCTTCCAGAGGATCTGGGTTCAATTCCCAGGACATACATGAGGGCTCACAGGCTCATGATGATCTGTATAAACAGTTCCAGGCCAGGATCGGACACCCTGTTTTGGCCCCCTTGGAACTGCACAGATGTGGTGTACACAGACATACATACAGGCAAAATACTCACAGACATATAAATAAAAAAATGGTAGGCAGCCCCTGAAAAACAATACTCAAGATTGACCTCTGGCCTCTACATGCACAGACATGCACTAAAGATAAAACAAATTTAAAAATACAGTCTTTTCTGAGACTCATTGAAATTTCTTATCTAAAAGCCTATGTAAATTTTAAAGAAGAAAGGAAAACAAGGTACATACTTCCAACACACAATGGCATAGAATAAATATCACCATTCCAAAAGGGAGGATCATGAGATTTGCAAAGAAAGATCAGCCTAAAACCAGACCAATTCCACTAAGGCACACACCAAACCCCAGAGCCACATTCAGCATGTAAGGTTCTTAGTGGCTTCATCTGGGCTCCCACGGGCTTGAGCATCCTTGCTGCCTGCAACACGAGGCCTCTCCCAGAAGCTGGCTCCGCACGGTGCCTGTGGCTTGTCCTCGGCAAACGCCCCATGTTTCTGGCATCTCCAAAATCCTGGCGTATTCACTGCAACTAGGTTTCAGCTTCGTAGCTTTGTGCACACACAGCTCACTCAGAAACTCCTGTAGAGAATCTGACCCTCCTGCATGCTCTCTGACTTCGGCAGTTCTCTGCAAAGTCAGTGTAAGTCCCTCTTCCTCCTGCATGTCTCCAAAACCAGTCAAGTACCATGTGGGGGATGGACAATTTGGCTGCCATCTGGAGGTGGATCCTGGTTCCCTTGGACCACAGCTATGGTGGCCTCTGTGTACCTAGCTTCTAGGTGCTTAGCTGAACATTTGAGGGGTGGAGGGGGCCCCATAGGAGGCCTTGTTCTCTGCCCCAGAGGCTGTCTATATTCAAGTACCTTCTTCGTTGATTTTTAGCCCAGGCTGACCCGGAAGTCACTATGCAGATAAGGCTGACCTTGAACTCCTGATTCTTTTGCCCCTTTTCATCTCCACATACTTCAAGCAGCCCTAGGCACTATTTTTAAATGAGTTTGAATCAACTACTGTGGTTTTCTTCTGACCTTCAGACATGCAGCCTGTGGTATATGTGTGCACTATCATGCTGGAATTTCCAAAAACACACACACACACACACAAACACACAATAATACTGTGAATGAGAATGGTCCCCAGTTGGAACTGTTTGTCATGGATTAGGATATATGACTTGGAGGAAGTGTGTCACTGGGGGAGGGCTTTAAGGGTTCAAAAGCCCATGCCATTCCCAGTTAGCTCTCTGCCTCTCTCTGCTTCCTGCTTATGGATCATGATGTAAGCTCTCAGCTGCTGCTCCAGCGACATGCCCGCCTGCCTGGTGCCATGTGCCATGCTACTCACCATGACAGTCACGGACTAACTTTTAAAGCTGTCAGCCCCATACACTCTTGGTTCTGTAAGTTGCTTTGGTCATGGTATCTCTTAACAGGAATAGAAAAGTAGCTAAGACACACACACACACACACACACACACACACACACACACACACACTAAAAGAAAGATTGGAGCTAGATGTAGTGGTACATGCTTGTGATCCTCACACTTGCAAGGCTGAGTTCAAAAAACCAGCCTTGGATACTGAGTTCCAGTCTAGCCTAGGCTACCTGAGACACTGACTTAAGAAACGATAAACAAGCAAACTAGCAAGCAACAGAGAAGAGGGGTGGGGGTGGAGGGGGAACCTGGAGAGGCCTTTCAGCGGTTAAGAGCATTTCCTGCTCTTGCAGAGGACCCAGGTTCACTTCCCAGCACTCACATGGCAGCTCACAACTCCAGTACCAGGGCATCCGACACCGTCTTCTGGCCTTCACTGGGCACTTTCTTCATACATGTGGAGCACATGGATGTAGGCAAACACTCATACATCTGTAAAAATAAATCTTTAAAAACGGGAGAAAGTCTGCAGAAACGGCTCCATTGGTAGAGGGCTCCCACAAACCCCTAGGTTCCTTCTATTCCCAGCATCATACAGAACTAAGTGTGTTAATCCACACCTGGGATATCAGTACTTGGAAAATGGAGACAAGAAGGTAAAGCTAGGCCTGGCGTGATGGGGCACACCTTTAGTCCCAGCACTCGGGAGGCAGAGGCAGGTGGATCTCTGTGAGTTTGAGGCCCAGCCTGGTCTACACAGTGAGTTCCAGGACAGCTAGGGGTTTTACAGTGAGACTTTGTGTCTCAAAAAAAAAAAAAAAAAAAAAAAAAAAAGTAAAGCTACTAGCTACATAACAAGTTTAAGGCCAGCCTGGGCTACATGAGACCCTGCCTCAGAAATATCAAAATGCCTTTTCAAACATGATTTAGTATTTATACATGGGGAAATACTGACTTTGTGATAGAAAATTCTGGTGGGCCCCCGCCTTCAGCTAATAATTATCTTGAACATTAGTCACAGCAGGACAATCAGATAAGGGTTCCTCTTGTCATAACACTCCAGGAATGGTGTAGGGTTGCCTAAACACAAAAGCCTAATCTAATGATGACAAAATCTCAGCCAAAACCCAAACTGAATGGCATTCTACAAAATACCTGACCATGCTTTCCTGCCAGATGCAAAGTGACTGCGGACCTTTCACAGCCAAGCACAATACCCACCTCTGAGTTGGATGGTGGACAAGGAACATGAAGGAACTGTGAAGGACACTGTGTGACAGTTTCTGAAACTTAAGTAGACTTTGGATTAGATATTAAAGGATTAGTGTTAAAAAAAAAAAAAAAAAAAAACTACTATTGCCAGGCAGTGGTGGCGCACGCCTTTAATCCCAGCACTTGGGAGGCAGAGGCAGGTGGATCTCTGTGAGTTTGAGGCCAGCCTGGTCTACAAAGCGAGTTCTAGGAAAGGTGCAAAGCTACACAGAGAAACCCTGTCTCGAAAAATGGAAAAAAAATAAAAGAAAAAAACTTTTATTTACATTGTTAATGTTCTGATCCCACCTCTTTGCGCCATCCTGTGTACTGACATAAAGTCTTTTTTTAAAAGATTTATTTATGTATGTATGTATGTATGTATGTATGTATACAGTGTTCTGCCTGCATGTTTGCCTGCAGGTCAGAAGAGGGCACCAGATCTCATTGTAGATGGTTGTGAGCCACCATGTGGTTGCTGGGAATTGAACTCAGGACCTCTGGAAGAGCAGTCAGTGCTCTTAACCTCTGAGCCAACTCTCCAGTCCAAGTCTTTTTTTTTTTTTTTTTTTTTTCAGGAAAAACTCTGCCCATTTCTCTCTCTCCTGTTCCGTTTCACTCACATGAGGTGTGCACCCCTTGACATCCCCTTTCTCTCTCTCTCTCTCTCTCTCTCTCTCTCTCTCCCTCTTTCTGTCTCTCTGCCTCATTATCTGTCTGTTATAATAAACTCTCTACATGGATGCATCCTTCTGTGTTATGTATCACTGGCTACCGCCGCCACTGCCACCGCCATGCCCTGCACGGCTTGCATCTGCCCAGCATGTTTCCCTGCACATGCGGGATACCCTCGGGGTCCCCTCCACATAATAATAATTCATAACATTGGCACCCAGCATTGCTAGGCAATCCCACTGCTTTCCCCTGCCCACCAGCAGTCTTGAGGAGATTTTGGGACACTATACTTATGTATAACATTAAAGGTCCAGCTTTAATATTATACTCTCCCAGGGGCCCAGTAGGGACGCTACCATCAGCATGGGAACGAATTCAGATGCACAAAGCTCTCTGGTCCAATTCGTTTGGTCGTCTGCCACCATTATTCAGCCACCAGTTCAGCTCTCTCAGCTCAACTCCCTCAGTTCCACTCTCTCAATTCAATCCTCTCCTCCTTCTCGCGGGACTGGTCTCTATTCTTTCCCCAGCAGCAACACCTCATGTTTAGTATACAACACAAGAACGCAAGGTCCCCACCAGAAGCTTCCTGGCAACTTTATTTGCACCCCAAAAGGGGAGAGACAAGGGTGGAGTCAGATAGCATAGGAATAAACCCGAAAAGGAATTTGTGTGATAGAAATATATCCTTACTGTGGTTAGGTGAAATCATTAGGGGTCTATCATAAATGTGTTCAACTACAAGCTTATGGTGATAGGATAGGGAAAATCTGTAGGTCACTAAAAGTTAAAACCGTCACTGTTTTCCTCTGCTGCCAGTTTCCTGACGGGGGTGGGGGTGGGGGGGCGGGGGTGGGGGGGCGGAGGTGGGGGGAGGGGGCGTGGATAGTGATAGCTAGTCAATCTGCATCACAGCTTGGAGCGCCTGGTGAGAGGAAACCCCTTTGATCTAAGAAGTTGCTCTGGCACCTTCTGATTGGTTTAATAAAGAGCTGACCGGACAATAGCTAGGCAGGAGAGGATAGGCCGGACTACCCAGCAGAGATAGAAACTCTTGGAAAAAGAGAGGTGGAATTTGCTGGCCAGATATGGAAAAAAAAATGGGACATACTGTACTGAGGAGAAGTAACAAGCCACATGACAGAATGTAGATGAATACAAATGGGTTAATTTAAGTTATAAGAGCTAGTGTGGGGCTGGAGAGATGGCTCGGGGGTTAAGAGTGCTGATTCTTCTTCCAGAGGACCTGAGTTCAATTCCCAGCACCTACACAGCAGCTCACACATGTCTATAACTCAAGTTTCAGGGGATCCCCAAACTCATGGCAAAAACACAAAAGCATATTAAAATAAAATTTATAGCTGGGCGGTGGTGGCGCACGCCTTTAATCCCAGCACTCAAGAGGCAGAGCCAGGAGGATCTCTGTGAGTTCTAGGCCAGCCTGGGCTCCAAGTGAGCTTCAGGAAAGGCACAAAGCTACGCAGAGAAACCCTGTCTCGAAAAACCAAAATATATATGTGTGTGTGTGTGTGTGTGTGTGTGTGTGTGTGTGTATAAAAGAGCTAGTGTGAACAAGCCTAAGCTAAGGCCCAGCTTTTGTAATTTAAAAAAAAAAAAAAAGTTGCTCTGGGCGGTGAGAAAGAGAAGACCTGACCTGAACCTGAACCTGATTTGCACAAGAAACAAAGCTATGCATCTAGGGGACAGGCACTTGGTCTGGGAGACAGATTGTCTCTGAAAGGACGGTTTACCTTAGTGAGGGTGGGGCTACAAGTGTCTAGCAGGTGGTCTGGTAGCTATCTGTTCCTCACTTGTCTTTCAAGGGTTTGTTTGGGGTTGACCCTATCTTAGAAGTAGCTTTGGGAGGATATTTGCAAAAGACAGATAACCAAAACAAATACTAAAAAGGAGCCAGCCGGGAGCTCAGAGGCAGAAGGTTCTGTCTACGTGACTTTATCCAAGTACTTTGAAATGGAGGTTCACACACACATACACATTCTAGGAGAATTATGACCACAAGGAATTCATAGCAAGGTACAACTGAATATTAAGCTGTGTAACACCAGGTAGACCTTGCTAAAAGGCTTCCCATTTGACTGACCCTTGGTCTGGTCAAGGTAGAGTTTATATTATACAGTTGGACTTTTCTTCTTTCTCCTTCTTCTTTCCTTCTTTCTCCTCCTCCTCCTCCTCCCCTCCCCTCCCCCTCCCCCCCTCCTCCTTCTCCTCCTCCTCCAAGACAGGGTTTCTCTGTGTAGCTTTGGTGCCTGTCCTGGAGTTCACTCTGTAGACCGGGCTGGCCTTGAACTCACAGAGATCCGCCTGGCTCTACCTCTTGAGTGCTGGGATTAAAGACCTGCGCCACCACTGCCCGGCTACAACTAGACTTCTATTTCATATTCCTGTGGCTCGCCACACTGTAGCACCCACTATTTTTCCTGATGGAGGACCACGGAAAACTCTTGACCCTATTGGATCGGTAGGATTCTTCCCTTTCCTTTTGGCCATTTTCCCACAACTGAGGATTGGCTCGTCTCTCTTGATCATGGTGCTGGTACCACTTCTCTTTCGGGTTCTAAGCCCCTTGGGCCTATGCCCTCCATGGCCCATGGCCATTGTGACGGCAGTCCATTAGCTATCCTGAGCCGTTTGTTCTCTGGGATGCTGGAGGTCAGTCTCGTTTCACTTGCTCTCTGTTAGGCTTATAGCCCCTTGGCCCGTGCTCCCATGCCACAGCATACGGAGGCAGCCTGTGCCCTTCTACAGCCCATGGCCGCCGTGACAATGGTCCTTTGGACATCTTGCACTATTATACCTCGTTGTGGAGAAATGCGCCTACCCGATCCCAGCCTCTTCCCTGTCGTCCACCCCTCCCACGTTTCTCCAGCCTCAGCTGACCGTTACATCATCGCCCGACACATGTACAATTGCCCCTCCGGCAGCCCATGGACTGGCTGCACAAATAATTGGTTACTTGACTGTATTTCTGTCCCCGCTGCCACCTCACGGGCCAAGCCGTGCAGAGTCAGGCCTCCCCAACAGACCAGCTTTTCCCTGCCCTGCAACCAGAGCTCCATCGACTGCTTGGAGCCCTGCCCCGCCCTCCTCCAGCAGCCTGCCTTTCCTCCGCTGCTGCCCCTACCAGGGCTTGAGAGATGGCCACGTTAACTTGTTTCTACCTAACTTAAATGCTGCATTTTGCCTGTTCCTTATCTGTTCAGTTTGCCTTGACAAAAAAAAAAAAAACCCCAAAAAAACTCCCAACATGAACATGTGGTCAGGTGCCATATTTGATAGGGGTGACCACATGATCAGGCAGTGCCATCTTAAATAAGGACAACCACGTGATAGGCCACCATCTTAAGTAAGGGCAGTCACATGGTCTAGCCGCCATCTTGGCTAAGGTCAAAACAGGCAGGTCATGTGACCTCGCTGCCATCTTTACTAAGGGCATCGTGGGTGGGGCGCTCACATCATCAGTATGGAAGGAGGTTAGGGAATTGCCGCCTGCCCGCATATTGTTTCACCATTGTTTTATGGGCGGAGGAAAAGTCCTCTGGCTTTGGCCTGGCGTTCCTTCCTCCACAGCTGCTTAGGTAGGCAGAGGGAATTTCAGTCACAGCCTGGCATTCCTTCCTCCACAGCCGCTCAGGTGGGTGGGTGGGGATAGCATACTCTTATGCCAGGATAGAATAGCGGCACTATTATAAATTTAAAATTTATAAATTTCAGGCCGGGCGGCGGTGGTGGCGCACGCCTTTAATCCCAGCACTCAGGAGGCAGAGCCAGGCGGATCTCTGTGAGTTCGAGGCCAGCCTGGGCTACAGCGTGAGATCCAGGAAAGGCGCAAAGCTACACAGAGAAACCCTGTCTCGAAAAACCAAATATATGTGTGTGTGTGTGTGTGTGTATGTATATGTGTATATATGTATATATGTATATATATATACACACACATATATATATGTTTCAGATTTTAACATTAATACAATTTTTATACTATTTGGGTCACAAACTCAGAATTTTAAACCTATAGGTATGAATCTACTGCTGCTTTTCAGCCGTCCTATCCCTGCTCCAGTTCAGGAGTCTTTCTCATGAAAGACCCCTGGCTGAGATCTTCCTCCGGGAGAGACCCCAAACCCAAGGAACACACCGAAACCACAGATCAGATGCAAAAGCAAGAGGGTTTATTTAGACCAGGTACCTGGGGCGAAGTCTCTTGGAGGACTTGCGCCCTTTCTTAGGGCAAGGGGGATTTTTTATGGGATCCCAGGGGCAGAGGCGCGGTTACAGAAGCGAGAAGCATAGTTACAGGGT